CATATAATTACAAAACAAATCAATTTAGAATATAAATATTGTACTTACGTTTCTGTCTATAGTATATAGAGCAGTATAAACAAGTCATTGTCCGTACAAAAATTTAGTTTGTACTGACTTTGCTAGTGCTTTTTATGTAGCCTGTTATAAAACGAGGCAAATATCTAGATGAGTTGATGTACCCCGTGGAAGACCTCTGTATACCCCTGGTTGAGAACCACTGGTCTAGAAGACTACAGTGGTTAAAATGCTGTGGCCTGTCTACACTAGCACTCCCACTGTTGTTTAGTGTATACAAAGCCACAGTACTTCCTCCCTTGGATCCTAGTTCAGCAAGGTAGTTAAGCATGTGCTTAATTATCATTGACTTCAGCAGGACTTTAAACTTTAACATAAATAGAGATGGATTTAAGCATGTGTTGAAGTGTTCTGAGGAAGTGGGGCCATACCTGTACTCAGCTTTGAAATATCAGCATTTCAGGGCAAGATTCCAAGGCACGGGGAAAAAAATAAGGGTGTTGATCCAGAGCTTTGGTCATACAGGGTAGTGACATACACGCAGAATATCTTACATCTTCCACTCCAGAGGTGACTGCGTATTCATAAATGATCTGGAAAAACAAATGAACAGTGAGGTGGCAAAGTTTGCAGGCGACACAAAATTATTCAAGATAGTTAAGTCCAAAGCTGACTGCGAAAAGTTACTGAGGGCAGGTCTACACTAACCCCCCAATTCGAACTAAGGTACGCAACTTTAGCTACGTGAATAACGTAGCTGAAGTTCGAAGTACCTTAGTTCAAAATTACCTCCGTTCAGACGTGGCAGGCAGGCTCCCCCGTCGACTTCGCGTACTCCTCTCGTCGAGCTGGAGTACCGCAGTCGACGGCGAGCACTTCTGGGTTCGATTTATCGCATCCAGACAAGACGCGATAAGTCGAACCCAGAAGTTCGATTTTCTTGCCGCCGAACTACCGGGTAAGTGTAGACCTACCCTGAGAGATCTCACTAAACTGAGTGATTGGGCAACAAAATGACAGATGAAATTCAATGCTGATAAATGCAAAATAATGTACACTGGAAAACATAATTCCAACTATACATACAAAATGATGGGGTCTAAATTAGTTGTTACCTCTCAAAAAAGAGATCTTGGAGTCATCGTGGATAGTTCTCTGAAAACATCCACTCAATGTGCAGTGGCACTGCGGCAGTCAAAAAATCTAACAAAATGTTAGGAACGATTAGGAAAGGAATAGATAATAAGACAGAAAATAGCATAATGCCACTATATAAATTCATAGTACACCCACACCTTGAATACTGCATGAAGTTCTGGTTGCCCCATCTCAAAAAAGATGTATTAGAATTGGAAAAAATACAGAGAAGGGCAACAAAAATGATTAGGGGAATGGAACAGCTTCCATATGAGGAGAGATTAAAAAGACTTTGAATGTTCAGTTTAGAAAAGAGACAACTAAGGGGATTATGACAGAGGTCTATAAAATCATGAATGGGGTGGAGAAAGTGAATAGGGATGTGTTATTTATCGCTATACATAACACAAGAACCAGAGGTCACCCAATGAATAATAGGCAGCAGGTTTAGAACAAACATAAGGAAGTACTTCTTCACACAACATACAGTCAAACTCTGGAACTTGTGCATGAAGATGTTGTGAAGGCCAAAAGTATGACTGGGTTCAAACAAGAATCAGATAAGTTCATGGAAGATAGATCCATCAATGGCTATTAGCCAAGATGGTCAGGGACACAACCGCATGCTCTGGGTGTCCTTAAACCTCTGACTGCCAGAAGCTGGGACTGGAGGACAGGAGTAAATCACTTGTTAATTGCCTTGTTCTATTCATTCCCTCTGAAGCATCTGGCACCATCCACTGTCAGAAGGCAGGACACTGGGCTAGATAGACCATTGGTCTGACCCAGCATGGCTAGTTTTATGTTCTTATGCATTTGAGAAGTGTACAATAATTCCTTATACTTCCAATATGTTAACCATTCTGCAATCCTTCTGGATGAAAGGTGCTATAGTACAGAAAACATTAGATTTTCAACTGTATTTCTGAATTTTCTTCTGTGGTTGGGTTTATGTTCTGTAAATTATATTTTAGTGTATTCTATCACAAAATAACATATGGTATGCTCACCACAAATAAAAACTAGTAATGGAATCTAACGGAACATCTCCACCTTTACAACTTTTCATGAATCTATCATAGCTAAACAAAAATTCTAAAATATTCTCTATCTTGGAGTTACCATCAAGTCATTAACAATAAATAACCCATGTAACTGGAATTAACACAATAGGCTATTTCTACTGGTTATAGTCTTTTACAACCAGAGACAAACATCAATACCAAGAACTGCTTTGTAGTTTTTATGATACAGCATATAGTCCAACCACTTATATAAACCATCACATAAATGCCCATACTTCCAAATCAAAATATAAATTTCAGACCTTAAACTGATTTTATACCTCATTTGCAGATGCTGCTAAGCACTGCATATAACAATAACATCATTGTTTCTGGAGTTTCTAACATACACGTAAAGGGAAAAATCAGAAGCAGATTTTTAAAAGGAATATATCAAACAAAATAAATGCATAAACACAATATATGAAGCATTGGGGTGCTATAAAGATTTTATTGTTACTTGTTTGGGAAGAGCTACATAACTCACTGTGGCTCTGCAACTAGTGAGTAATGCAGTCATCTCAAAATCCAGCAGATTTATTGGTAATACTGTTCAGGCTAAGTTCTTGTATCTCATTTTCTCCTAACCCCTTATAAATAGGACTCAGCTCTTTGCAAGAGGTAACCTACATTTTATTTCTTTACACTTTATATAAATGTGGTGACTATTTTTGGTGGAGGAAAAGAACTAGTGACTCTGAAATTTAGTCACAACATAGTTAAATTAAATGATCAGTGGAAATGCATGAAAACGGTAGAGCATAGAAATAATTACAGAAAATAAAATATTTAGGAGAGGTAGATCTGGTAGACTTGAGGCATTTTCTCATATCCTGGACTCTGCTTAGAGAATAACCTATTCCTAGGTTGGGTACTTACATGATTCCCATCACATTAGTATCTAAGTGTCTTACAATCGTTGATGTATTTATCCACACAACAACCCCTGAGTTGAGGAAGTACTTTCATCCCCATTTTACAGATGGGAAACTGAGGCACAGATACTAACTGACCTGGATGAGGTCATCCAGGAAGTCTGTGGCACAGGAGGGAATTAAACCTGGGTCTCCCAAGCAAACACCCTAACCACTGGACCATCCTTCCTCTGGGATGGGAAGGAACTCCAAAGGTTTTCAAGTAGTTTACTTTATTTACTTAGACCCTGCTTTAGTAAGGTGTTTAAGCATTTGCCTAGCTATAAACACAATCCTACTTTAGTCACTGAAGATTATTTGCTTATTGAGGAGCTTCCTGCATCTTCCTCTCGAGCATCTAGTGCTGCCCACTGTCATATACAGAATTTTGCACTAGGTGGGCCACGTGTTTGATCCAGCATAGCAATTCCTATGTTCCCTGAGCATCTTTTAACCATGCTGGGAACTATTATGTTGTAACTGGATTCCCTGGCAGGGTTAATTTTGAGCAGAAGTCTTTGCTGATAACTTTGCAAAAGCATTCTCCTTAGAAATGCTTTTCTGTCGATATCACATCCACTGACCTTGTTTTTAGGCCAACCACCTGTTCCCTTATTTTTAAAATTACACAGCTCACACATGAAAACATCTTTTTCCCCCCTATAAAGTTTATCACACATGCTTGCTCTTTCCTTCCCACCCACAGCCATAAGCCTCATTGTGTCATCAGAATAACGTCTGCGGCACCCAGTTGTGTGTAGGGTGACCAGATGTCCCGATTTTATAGGGACAGTCCAGATATTTGGGTCTTTTTCTTATATAGACACTGATTACCCCACCCCCTGTCCTGATTTTTCACATTTGCCATCTTGTGTGACATCAGAACAAGAGGCATACAGTGTCCCCTGGGGAACTAGCAGATATATTTGGAAAGCACTACTCTGTTTTTATGCAAATGCCCTTCGGTGCTAATAATTTTGCAGGGGTGCTGGGAACCACTGAACCAAACTTTAATCCCTGTATATGATGGAATCCACTTTAAGCCAGGGCACCCCCGTTGCAGCAGCACCTGTGTAATTTTGTTTCAAAAAGGGAGGAGAAATAAACTCAGCTGTGCCAAACCTCTCTCATTGCAGGTGATTTTCAAGGCTGCACGCAAAGGCTCTCCCTGAAGGGATGGTTGCATTGCAGAGTGTTTCCACGAGACCTTTACGGCGTCCCCCAATTTTTCCCTCCTGGCTTTGAAATCTCCCTTATTTAAATGGCCACAGCTTAGCAGCTCTGCACCTTGGCAACCTGGGGGGGCGAAGGCAAAGGCAAAGGGGTCCGTCCTGCTGCTCTCTGAGGAGAACTGTAAAAGTCTGGGAGCCTGGAGAGCTCCCCAAGCGGAGCCAGCGGCTGTGAGTAGGAAGTGGAAAAGGGGAGGGGGAAAAAAAGGCTGCGGGCGGGAGCTTGCAACCTCAGAGCTGAAAGGGCTGCGGGGCTTTGCCGTCTCTCTCTCTCTGTCTCTCTCTGCCTCGCGCTGCTGCTGTCGGCGCGAGGCTGCCGCCGAGAGCGGAGCAGAGCGAGCGGCGCCGGCGCTGTGCATGCTGGGCTCCGATCATGGTGGGCTCGCGCTAGAGGCAGGAAGAGCTCGAGCCAGTCCCCCCCGGCAGCCGCGCGCCTCCCGGTCAGCGAGTCCCGGGGAGAGAAGACACCGACCGGGAAGGGGGCTGGTACCCGCCGGGCGCTCGCTCTGTCCCGCACCGCAGCGCCCCGGGACCGCTCGCCGGAGGAGGAGGAGGAGGAAGGGGGGGTTGCCCCGGGTGCCAGCCGCTGTGGGGGGACGGGACCGGACCGTGCCCCCCGCCGCTGCCCCCCGCGTGCCCAGCCCCGGGAGATGGTGACACATGAGGCGCGCTGGCAGGAGCATGGTTGAAAGGACCAGCAAGTTCTTGCTGATCGTGGCCGGCTCGGTGTGCTTCATGCTCATCCTGTACCAGTACGTGGGGCCGGGGCTGAGCCTGGGGGCGCCCAGCGGCCGCGCCCCGGCTGAGGAGCTGGACCTCTTCCCCACGCCGGACCCGCACTATGTCAAGAAGTACTACTTCCCCGTGCGGGCGCTGGAGCGGGCGCTCGCCTTCGACATGAAGGGCGAGGACGTGATCGTCTTCCTGCACATCCAGAAGACGGGCGGCACCACCTTCGGCCGCCACCTGGTGCAGAACGTGCGGCTCGAGGTGCCCTGCGACTGCCGGCCCGGGCAGAAGAAGTGCACCTGCTACCGGCCCAACCGCCGGGAGACCTGGCTCTTCTCGCGCTTCTCCACCGGCTGGAGCTGCGGGCTGCACGCCGACTGGACCGAGCTCACCAGCTGCGTGCCCGGCGTGCTGGACAAGAGGGAGAGCGCCGCGCTCAAAGCCCCCAGGTGAGCGGCATCCCTAGCCCACCCCGCGGGCATGCCTGGCATCCCCAGCAAGGGAAACAACCCACCCGCATCCTCCTGGTGTTCAATGCACTCCCCTGCACCCCCAGTCCGGGAACACTGCTCTGCACACTCACAGTGAGCAGTGTATTCCCCTATGCACCCCCAGCCCAGCCTGTGGGCATGCCTTGCACCCCCACCACGGGAACCCCAGCACCCTCATGGTGTGCACTGCACTCCCCTGCACCCCCAGCCCGGGAACTCCCCTCTTCACCCTCACAGCGTGCAGTGTATTTCCTTCTGCATCCCCAGCCCGCAGCATGCTCTGCACCCCCCCAGCATGGGAATGCCACCTGCACCCTCATGGCGTGCACTGCATCCCTCTGGGCATCCCCCTCTGCATCCCCAGCCCATGGGTATGCACTGCACTCCCCTGCACCCCCAGCCTGGGAACCCCCTCTGCACACCCATGGCTTGCACTGTACTCCTCTCTGCATCCGCAGCCCAGCCCACAGCATTCTTTGCACTCCTCTACACCCTCAGCACCCCCTCTTCACTTCCACAGCATGCACTGCACCCACTCGCCACCTCTTTCTTCATTCCCATTGCACTTCTCTGCACCCTGAGCACCTCATCTGTGCCTCCATGGTGTGCACTGCACCCCCAGTGCAGGTACTCCATTTGCATGCACTGGACTCCTCTCTACCCCCAACCTGGGCACCCCTCACTACACCCCCATCTGCACGCTCACTCAGGGTACTGGACTCTGCACCACCAGCCCAGGCACCTCCTCTGCACCTCCACAGTGTGTGTTGCACCCCTAGCTCAGGCACCCCCTTTTCATGTGCTGCACCCCTCTCTCTACTCTCAGCCCAGGCACCCTCTTCTGTACCCCCACAGCATACACTGCACTTCTCTAGGCAACCCCAGCCCATGGCATGCACTGCACTTCTCTCAGCACCTCCAGCCTACCACACTGCATACACTGCAATCTTGTCTGCACCCCCAGCTCACCCTGCTGCATGCATGCCCCTGCCCTCTGCACCCCAGCCTGGCCACCCACTTCTGCACCCCACAGCATACACTGCACTCTCCTCTGCCCCCTCAACCCAAACATCCCCTCTGCCACCCCCATGGCGTGCACTGCATCTTCTCTCTGTACCCCCAGCTCAGACGACCTGCCCTCTGTACCCCCACAGTATTCATCCATCTGCACCCCCAGCCCTCGCCACGACATACACTGCACCTGCCCTCTGCATCCCTAGCCTAGGCACCCCCTCTGTCCACACCATTACAGGCACTGCACCTCTTTTCTGCACTCTAGCTCACCCCATTGCATTCATTGAACCTCCCCTCTGCACCCCCACATCCCATCTTGTGCACCCTCCACTCCTCAGCCCAGCCTTATTCTTGCCCGTGTAGCCTATATGCCTACCCTACTCTGTGCATCCCTAATCCTCCTGTACCCCAGCTAAACCTGTACACCCTCAATCGCAGGCAAGAGAGACCCAAGACAACCAATCCCCTGCACACTTAACCCCCCCCCGCACGTACGTGCACAATTGCCCCATATTCCACTTTGCATACTCCTATACAGCCCTACACCCACTCTATATCCCCCCTTCAGTTCCTATCCTTTTCCGTGCACAGTGAGTGGTGCTTCGAAAGCCTTAGCTGAAAACTACGTTTCTCCTGCAAACCTCAACCTACATCCCCTTTATCTCTCTGTCTTCCACTTGGGCAAGAGAGAGAGCATCACCCCAAAATCCCAGGCAAGACAACTCACTCAGAATTTCATCCTTACACACGCCCAGTCCGACCCCCAGCCCCTCTCACACAGACACCAAATCCCACTGCATTCCTGTCTTGCATCCTATCCTTCATTCCACTGCTCCAATCTTAACTTGCTCTCAAACTAATAATTTACAATAATCTATGTAAATTTAAATTGGCTTGTTTAAAAGCATCTCCAGTTGTTCTTATTCCTGCTTCCCTAATTTAACATATTTTTATGTCTTTGAGTCCAAGAGGTCTGGTAGGGATCAGCTAAAAAACTATCATTGGAAATACCATGCACAATCTCTTTAGTGAACGTAAATCACTGTTGTTGTTATTACTATCCCTTGTATCCTTTTTTTTGGTAAGTTTCATTCTCAGAGCTATGCAACATTTTATGCAATCATTTGTTAATGCCATGTGCTGTATATATATCGTTAATAGCATACGTAATAATCCCTTTAGTGAACGGCAGCCTTAGAGCAAGTCTATCTTTTAGCATCGCTGTTCTTCTTTCTTCCGTATTTTAAACCATTTTAGTTGGTCTTGTCCTAGGAACAGTATGCAGTTATTAGTATATTAGTTATTAGTATTCTTTATTGCCTCTGTTATGATTACTGCTCTTTTCAACGGAACTCAGTGGGTTTCAGTGTTAGTCATCCTAATACTATACTTGAGTCACTGTCATGCTGGCTGACCCGGGAGCAGCAAACCAGGCTTTCCTTGTGATCTTTTATTTTTAAGGCACTCGTAAACGTTTTATAAACAAAATACCCTTCACCTGTTCTGTTGCTGATGTGGTTTAGTGAAGTGCTGCAATGAAAACTGCTCAAAGTTCAAAACCGGTAAAAACCCAGTCTGTGAACCTTGGCACCCAGCTAGCAAACTCTTAACCTGCCATAAAGGCAGATTTATGGATAGATCCAGACACCCATGTGCTCAGGATCCTCAGTTGTACTTAAACCTACTCTACCTTCAGTATTTAACCCTACTCTCCTTGCTTTTTCATACAGTTACTACAGAATAGCATAATGCTGTTGTAATGAAGCTCCAGATTGTGAACATATAGCAAGGGTCCTGTTATAGTTGCTCAGTTACCTTTAACCTTAAAGGCTTAATAATTAGTTCTTTCCACTTTGGGGAATGGATTCTGTGTGTATTTGTAGGCATTTCAGAACCAGCTACTAAGTATTGCACCTTTTCAATAATTTTTAAATGAGGTTGTTTTCTCTCTAGTATTTGTTTTTTGGGATTTAAGGCATTTGACACTTTTTAAACTATCTGTGCTCAAAATATATTGAAAAAATAATCTAGTCCCCCAGTGCATCCAGAAGCAGATTTATCATGAAACAAACCATGTGGTGGCACAGGACCCCCATCGACGGGGGGCCCCCAAAATGCAGGACAAATCTCATCTGACAACCTGCCCCTGATTCCCAGCCGGCAGCACAGAAGGGCTCAGGCAGGAAGGCTGCCTGCGTGCCGTGGTCGGTGGCCCCACGCTGCTCTTGGAAGTGGCTGGCTGCTGGCATGTCTCTGCGTGCCTTGGGGAGGGGGGGAGAGGCGGCTCTGTGTGCTACCCCCTCCCTGGGCAGTTCATGGAGACCCGATGCCTCTCTCCCCCCAAGGGGTGCGCAGAGACGTGCCAGCAGCAGGGTTAAGGCGGCTCTCTGCCCGCTCTGCCTCCCTCCCTCCCTCCGCGCCGCCTGGGGGTGTGTGTTTCTCCACATGCTGCCCCTGCCATGAGTGCCGACTCCACAGCTCCTATTGGCTGGAAACTCTGGCCAATGGGAGCTGTGGGGGCAGTGCCTGCAGTCAGCGGTGTGCGGAGACCTCTTGTGCCCCCCCCCCGCCCGCCTAGGAGCTGCTGGCGGGGGTGTATGTGTGTGCTGATCGCTTTGGGAGCGGTGCCGCCCGAGGTAAGTGCTGGCCCCCCACCCCACACACAACCCCCAGCCCAGAGCCCACACCCAGCACCCAAACTCCCTCTCAGCGCTCGACCCCCGCACCCTTTCCCACACCCCTGCCCCAGCCCAGAGCCCACACCCAGCACCGAAACTCCGTCCCAGAGCCTGACCCCCGCACTCCCTCCCACATCCCTGCCCCAGCTCAGCGCCCACACCCAGCGCCCAACTCCCTGCCTCAGCCCAGAGCCCACGTCCAGCACCCAAACTCTCCCAGAGCCTGACCCCCGCAATCCCTCCTGCACCCCAACCCCCTGCCCCAATCAAGGTACCTCACTTTATTTTCATTTACTTCCCATTACTTATAGGAGGAGGATGAAGGAAAAAAAGAATGAAAAATGTGGGGGAGATAAGAGAGAATGTTCTTTTTCTTGGCTGGGTCCCGGGGTGGGGGCGGGGCGGGAGGGGTGGCCTGAAAATGAAGCTGCGCATAGGGCCCACTAACTCTAAATCCGCCACTGTGTGTATCCTAATATTAGTTTTGCTAATATTAGTGCTGTGGTCTCTTTGTTTCTGTTACCCCACAGATTAGGTTGGATTAGGACTTGATTTTCAGAAATGTGGGGGCTCTGATGTGGAGGTTTAGGTAATCTGATTATAGTAATCTCGGTTTGTTTACACACACTGTGCTTGGCCTTTCATTAATTTTGAACTGGGGATGATTTTGTACAATAAACAGCTGCCAGTTGACTTTGTAATATTGTCCTAGCACAGTGCTCTCTCTAATGTAACAAAGTACAGTTCATTGTGTTCGTAAGGCATCTTCACAAAAAGATAACATTGCTCTGGCTTGTAATGAAATCAGGATTCATAAATGAGAGATGTTTGTTTAAAATCAGTGATGTAGTGAATTTCATTTGTTCAGATGAAAAAGGATACCTTCTTGCATTATTTCCAGTACACTAGCAATCATATCACTTCATTTCCCCGCTCTGAATAATGTATCTTGGCCATCAAAACAGTGCTTGTTTTTTATGCGACCTGTGCATTTGAGAGAGGCTAGTGTTGAAATAGGATTTGACTACGAAATTCTCATTTGAACAAGCTCCAGACAGAACCATCTGGGTCTCCTTGAACCCAGTAAGACTTCAGAATTCTGAAGTTACTTTTACAGCTCCTCTGCAGTGGAGACATGAAATCCACCTTTCAGAACATTCAGTTCCTTCCTTTATATTCAGTACGTACAGTGACAGGGCTGGATTAATGCAGGTGTTTTAGGGGCTGCAGCCCAGGGCCTCAGTCTAAGGGCAGCCCCGTGGGTGG